TACGTTCCGTGAATGGTGCAATATGTATATCCCAAAGTACAACAACCACGGCACCTCTGGGGTATCGGGTGCCATGGATAAAATACACGGCTGCAACTTCCTCGGGATGCCCCATGTGACGGGAGTGCAAATGCCCTTTGAGGCACCCATAAGAATTTTAGCTAAGCCTAACTGACTATGAACTTTTCCTCAAACAATTTCCTGATGCTCTGGCCACCGCAGAGGATAATCAACGGTGCCCTATCTGCTGCATCGAGCAGGGTGGATAGGGGTTTGGATGCTACTGCTCAAGCCTTCCCGTCTTCTTATTCCCCCTCTTACGCTTTTTCACTCTTACCGTCCCGTTCCAACTTCACTTTTGTCCCCCCAGTTTGCAACCCCCCGATTCTTGGCCCTTCCCCAACATGCTTTGCTAGGCATTTATCTTCTAATTTCAACTCACTGGCGAACGCGAAGTGTCACTCCTCTCCTGTCGACAAGCCCATATCCAACCAAGCGGTCCAATCCAGTTCATCGGTTTCCATTTGGAGCCCTCGATCCTCCTTCAGATTGGCATGCCTCAATGTACGCACACTGCTACAAATCGGTCAACAGGCAGCACTTGCTCGAACATTAGAGACCCTCTCGATCGATGTCTGCTGCTTATCAGAGACTTGCCTGCAAGACTCGAGCACTGTGCTCACTCTGCGATCTCCTTCAGGTGACGCAAGCAGTATTTTCTCCTTGCGCCTATCCTTTGACGATGCAGCTTCGAGCACCGGCCAAGCTGGTGTTGGCATTGCCCTGAGTCCCCGGGCTGAAGCTGCTCTGGTTGATTGGATTCCAATCAGTAGCCGGATGTGTGCGGTCCGATTGGCTGGCTCGTTCAAACCTTCGAAGTCGCACGGGACTAATAGGTGTATATTCATCATCGCTGCCTATGCGCCCACAAACTGTAGCGAGGATTCGGTAAAGAACGACTTCTACCGCCAACTGACCCAGCTCCTTCGCCACAGAAGAAGCACGGACACAGTTGTGCTGGCGGGAGATATGAACGCACAAGTTGGAAAGTTTTCCACTGATGAAATGCATCTGGGCGGTCAGCACGGTGTAGGCTCCCGTAATGATAACGTTGAGCGGTTACTTCATTTGTGTGAAGATGCTCGCTTATTTCTTGTGAGCACTAATTTCCGACACAGCACCCGCCAGAGGGTGACTTGGCGCCCACCAGCTTCGAACCAGCTATGGACGCAAATCGATCACATTGCTATTAGTTACCGCTGGAGAGGCTGCATCCAGAACTGTCACTCGATTTGGAGCACATGTGTTGACACCGATCATGCACTTGTATGTGCTGACATGCGGATGTGTTTTGGCGGACGCCCACGACGACGCTGTGAGCGTATTGACACCAGCCAACTGACAAAACCAGCTGTTCTGAATGCGTATCGAATTACCCTGACATGCGAGTTGAGCAAGCACTCACAGGAGACAATTGATGGTCACTGGTCTCATGTTCACCAGACCTTATTAGCAGCAGGCAAATTCTCATGTGGTATGTCTAATAGACAACATGGACATTGGGTCTCTTCGCAGTCTCTGGAACCTACGGACGCTCGCCGGCATATTACGGCTGGAAGCGAGCACAATGAAAGTCGCAACGAACTCCGGGCAAAACTCCGTGCTAGCCTGAAGAGAGACCGCGAATCTTGGTGGTCTCATCGTGCATCAGAGATGGAAGTGACCGCTGCCCTTGGCAACCATCGTAAGTTATTCCGTCTGATACGGGAAACGGGCAGCAGGAGACCTGGTGTTAGTGAAACTATACGTGATGAGAGTGGACAGCCTATCCACAATTTGTCAAAACGCCTGGAGCGTTGGGCTGGGCATTTTGAAAAGCAATTTAATCGGCTAGAATTGTTAGATTTCTCGCCGGCCACTGATCGCCCTGCTCCGTGGGCTGTTCCTTGGGATCCACCCTCTCGCTCAGAAGTCGAACGTGAGATCGGACTGTTGAAGTTGAACAAAGCCGCGGGACCAGATGGTCTTCCTCCAGCTCTTTTCAAATTCGGAGGCTCTGCTCTTGTTGATGCTCTGCATGAATTACTAGTGAAACTGTGGGAGCAGGAGACTGTCCCAACCGACCGGAGCCGCTCCGTTATTGTTCCCATCTTCAAAGGCGGCTCGCGCTCGGAATGCGGCAACCATAGAGGAATCAGTCTGATCTCCATCGCCTCCAAATTACTCGCCTCCATAATCCTTCGCAGACTGGCGCTCGTGAAAGTCAGATTCGTGAGGAGCAAGCCGGGTTTCGTCGGGGTCGTGGCTGCATCGACCACATCTTCACCTTACGTCAGTTGTTGGAGCACCGTCACATACATTGGCGGCCCACCGTAGTCGTGTTCCTCGATATCAAAGGTGCCTTCGATTCGGTCGATCGATGTGCCCTTTGGAATTGTTTACTCAGGAAAGGTGTGCCCGAGAAATATGTAAATATTATCCGAGCATTATATGCGCGTAGCACGGGCAGAGTGAGGGCTTACGGCAAGCTGTCGCCACCCTTCAATATCTCCAGCGGTGTGAGACAAGGATGCCCGCTGTCACCTTTCCTCTTCAACTTCGCTATTGACGAAGTCATGAAGATTGCATTTACAGGACATGACTTGGAAGGTGTGGAGCTACTCCCAGGAAAACGACTTCTTGACTTGGAGTATGCAGACGACATTGCCCTCATCAGTGACAGCTCCCAGACGTGCCAAGCCGCGCTGGACAGATTAGCACTGGCTGTCAGTCGCTTCGGGCTTTGTTTTGCACCACCGAAGTGCAAAGCTTTCCTCCAAAATTGGCACGGATCGCCTCCTACACTGACCCTTGGTGGTGATCAGCTAGAAGTAGTACTGAAATTAAAATACCTGGGAAGTTGTATCAGCGCCCTTGGGATCGAAGACGAGATCACGAACCGTATAGCAAAAGCTCGAAGTGCTTTTGCTAACCTACGCCACCTATGGCGGCGGCGCGACATTACTCTCGCCCTGAAGGGTAGAGTGTACAATGCAGCGGTACGTTCGACCCTAATGTATGGTTGCGAAACTTGGTCCCTAAGATCGGCGGACATGAAGAGGCTAGTTACGTTAGACTGTCGGTGCCTTCGCAGTTTGGCTCACATCTGGTGGGAACACCGCGTGAGTAACGAGCGTGTTCGACGCCTTGTTTACGGTCCAGGAAAAGGAAATGAACCGCTCAGCACCGTTATTTCCCGCATCAGGCTCCGATGGCTGGGCCACGTGTTACGCATGCCAGCCCACCGACTCCAGCGACGTGCGTTGTTTGCTCGCCGGGGATGTGGGTGGAAGAAGAGGAGAGGTGGCCAAGCGATGACTTGGTCCAGAGGAATGAAGTCCCTCACTTCTGTGTTCACCTCGGTTGGAGCGTCACGGCTCCCAGGTTGGGGTCCAAAAGACGGTGAACACGTTTGGCTGGATACACTTGCTGACATGGCAAGGAGCCGACCTCAGTGGCGTTCGTGCTGTGAGTTTCTTTGTCCCTCCCCGTCCCTTTGATCCTCCCCCTCCATCTGAGATCTTATTTCGTAGGGTAAAACATAATTTACTTTTGTTTTTGCCTAGTAGCCGGCTGGTAGGTTACCGGAACGATGCCTATCCGTTGCTGGTAGCTCAGCTGGCATGCAACTGTCGTATTTATTTTTCCTTTATGTATTGTATGTATGTATTTCCTTTATGTATTGCGGTGCAATAGCGGGGGTGTTTTACCACCTCTAGGTGACATGTATATTGATGTTGATGACTTACTCACTTCGCAACAAGTGCGGCAACGCACCATGGCGTAGCTTGCTGAGAATCGAAGGGAAGTCTGAGTCGTGATCAAGAAGCGGCTATAAATGAATCATAGGGTCGTCCAAGATATGCCAAAATTTGTAGCGCTATTCCAATTTGGCAACGTCTACGGGGCATTTTCCGTTTTTGTGTCCCATGCCGTCCGCTTAGCTTTGTTGGTCCCTAATGGGCGCCCATTGTGCTCGGACCAATTTACATCTGGGTCCACTGTGAGGTTTGTTTATCTTAGGTGGCACTGATTCTGTGCTACGAGTCCGGCCCATGCAGCTTGGGTCACTCATATGGACAGCCTTGCATTGGATTTATGTTCCATGGCTACGCGTCAGCTTCATTTATCCAAACTATCAACTGTACTTACGAGGTGAGTGCATGTTGTAACATCCTAACCTCCATGATGAACGAAATTGACATATTGCTCTCCAGTCACAAACTTATC